TTCCTATTGCACCCGGCGTGCTAGGAGGCAGAGACCCTCAAAGGTCTCACACGCCCGGCATGCAAACCCGCGCTTGACGCAGGGTAAGTAGAGACTTCCCCAAGGTCTCACGCCCGGTGCAATATCAATTGTGCCCGGCGCCACTTCTGGCAGAGACTCCCAAGGAGTCTCCACACCCGGCGAGACAAGGTCACGCTCGGCGCCACACCAGAATTCCCCAAGCAATGTCACTTACTGATATCGCGCCCAGCGCGGTCCAACCACGCCCGGCGTGGGCCATCCAGAGGCTCACACCCTCAAGCTCGCCCGGCGCATACACCACTACGCCTGGCGGGCTTGCCCAATGGAGCCCTCTGGTAGTCACGCGCCCGGCGGGAAGAACTGCGTCCGGCGTGATACCCAGCAGCAACCCTCAAACTTCAAAAATTTTCTTCAAAACCTGCACCAAATCAGCTTTCCAAAGACATGCAATCGGCCCAAAGCATCCCATTTTCATCAAACAACCCAAAAATCCCAACTTTACCCACATGCATCCATAAACAAAGAAAATCCCAAATTTCACCCAAAACCCGAGAACCCCGAAAAATGAGTTTTCATCCAAAATAGCTCAAAATCTTTGAAAATCTCAGCAATTCGTGAGTCCTAGCTCACTAAAACACACAACCGGCAAGAAATCCTAGCTTTCCTTACCTCGGTGCAAGAATTCGAGCTCCGAGAAGAAGGCAAGCTCAACGGAAGAGAAGACGTAGAAGAGCTTGGATGGAGAAGAGAAGAAAAGGAACGTCCACACCTCAACAAGTTCAACTTCTAAGAATCAACACCTAGACCACCACAGCAACCAAAATCAGAGGACAAGAGGGAGAAAAGAGAATAGAGAGTGAGTGAGAGTTTCAGAGTTGAGAGGGAGAGAAGTGAGGAAAAACAGCTACGGGTCTCACACAATCTATCTATAAATGTATTTAATTTAATTTACTCCAAATAAGTAGATAATAATTTATTTAACTCACATTCTATTCGATTTAATTCTATTACTCGAATTTCATTATGTACTGAAATAAAAGCTTAAAAACAAGTCATTTACATTTACAGTAAGACTACATAAGTTTAACCCTCCAACTTGGTCCTTTCCAAAGACTTATCTCAGCCGCCCCTGACCAAAAATCACATATATAATAAGTTTTAATTAATCAGTTAAATAAAACTTTTATTTATGGAAATTAAACTCATGTATAAAAAGCAATAATATTTGAATATCCAAAACTTATAAACATGGAAGCGAGGTGACACTTCTTATTTTTCTTTAGTTTTAAATCCATTTTTGGTTTTATGTACTTTCACGAGTGTACACTTTTAGTATTTTATAATTTTTTTATTATAAATCTAGTTTCTTAATTTTTTAAACTAAATAATATTAATCTACTATTAATCATTTAAAATTTAAAAAAAAATGTTAATATATCAGTAAGTAACACTACTTGAAAGTTACTTAGCTACATAAACTTTACTTAACCATTCCTTTTATATTATACATATATGTTATTTTCTTTTTAATTTCAATTAAAATTTATAATTTATTAAAATAATTTATAAAATTTGTTAATATTACTATTTTCTCATGTAACTAACTAATTGTAAGTAGTATCACTAATGAACACTATTTTGTATTTTTTATTTAATTTTAAATGACATGTTAATAATACATAACTAATTAATGTTGGAGATCTCATATCAACTAAAGACAAGGTCATAATAATATATATTGTAACGACCCGCCATGGTCTCTACACTTAGTGAAATCGCACTACTACTAGTGAACTAAGAGAAATATTAAGTTGGATAACTCATACTTACAGGTATAAATAAGAATGAAAATAACTAAGTTTCTGGTTATAAAATAAAACATCATATATATACACTCATCCCAAAAATAATATTCCCTAGTGTCGGTCAAGCACAGACAAAACCGTTACCCAAAATGGTAACTCTAACACGAGGATCAAACTCCTCGTCTCGCAGCAGTCACCTCAACTTCAAGCTAACGCTGACCTGCTCCCATACAAGGTATGATCATCGCAACTCCACCACATGAAAACAAAAGGGTAAGCTAGAGTTCAAAAATCAATCATACAAGTACAGACAATAGTCAATACTACAGAATCATCCAACTATCAATCATGTTCATAGAGTCACACCATACTCTATCCATTACTACTCATGCATAGCATAAAATACAATCCATCAATCATGAAGCCAAATACCACACACTTTATCATATTAACAATCATGCAATAAATGCATCTCATGACAGATATTAATGCATATCAATCATCATCACAAACGACCATACAATTCAACATAAAAACCCAACTCATTCATACAACTTAGAAGCAAATTTAATACAACAACAACAATATACAACTTAATATTTAATGCGTTGTCACACATGTACAACTTGAGATCTCCAACAACTAAGGTTGAGCAGTCTAGGTGGCATAAACCCTACAGCGTTTGACCTATCTCAACTAGGTCAGGTATAAAACAACGTTAGGAACTCCGAAGAGAACCAGGTATAGACAACAATAGGCGATTGCTCAGGTGTGCCACTTAGACTCGAAGGTCTAGTACTACTGTCAGGACAGAAGGGTTTGGGTATGAGCCTACCATGGCCTTGGCTAGCATCACCAATCCACATATGGAGTTAGCCCACCCACTGTCCTCCAAGTACCACGCGCCCTTCAGTACCTAGTCAAATACTACATCTCTAACTAGATACCTTACTCAAATTGGTCATTCAACCATGACATGAATCGACTATTTCCATGTCGTCCACACAATACTAAGGGATTCAACTTTAAAACAACTTTCAACTTATCACCTTAGTACTATGTATCTCAACATAGGACATATATCTTCACCATATGTCCCCAACTTTTTAACTTTACAACAATAGACACCATAACAACTTTACAACAATAAATATCTGGCCGCTTGTAATCGATATAGCTCGGCCTGGCCCCTATACCGTGGTCGCTTTGTACACGTGTGCCTCGACCTTGCCCACACACGGGATCAACTAAGTCCTAGAGGAGAACAACACAACGTCCACTCCAAGGGACAACTTTCCAAGGAGGGTTTTTCAACAAATTGGGCTCTCAGAGCACCATAACTATCTCAATCCACACAATGATGAGCAACTTTGAAAACATCTCCCCTAGTCCTAGTAATCAACAACTCATCATCATAGCTTAATCAGCTTAACAACTTAAACAATATACAATTTTTCAGCAATAGATATCTTAACAACTTTATAGCAATAGATATCTTAACAACAATAGACAGCTTACAACAATAAGCATTATATACCAACTTGACAACTTCTTATTCAATTATACAACTATGCAACTTTAATAATTTTAACAACATGCAAACAATTTAATTAAACAACTACAGTCATTACAATATCAACTTGACAACTTTATAAACAACTTCAGCAATATACAACATATTTGAAATTCATCTATCATGTCAACTTACACAATATAAACATCATAAATCAACTTAAGCACTCAACAACTCAACTATTTCAACAAAAGAACTCCATGCATAAAGCTTCCCTAACTCTCCTGAAATTAAACAACCTACATTCTAGCTTCCCTCACCTGAAGATTGACTCAAAATAGTCAATAACTGAGAAGAAGTAGAATTTCCTTCCGAAGCTCAACCCGGAACTTCAATAATCCCAAAGCCAACTTCCTAATATGAATTTCAAGAAAAGACAGAAGGCATTAGTGATCTAGAGGAGAAAAAGAATCATACAGAGAAATTTGGGAGAGAAAGGAGCTCACAGACCCAGAGACCTTCTCTCTAAAAACTTCACTTTCTCCTCAACCACCAACCCCTATTTATAGAAGTTCTGGAGTGGCCAGAACGACCTGTTTTGAATCCGGAACGACCCGTTCTGCACCCCTTCATCACGTACAAAAATCACATACAGAACGCCTCATTCTGAAATCAGAACGACCCGTTCTGCGATTCATCCAGAACGGTCTGTTCTCCATCCAGAACGGCCTGTACTCCCTCTAGAACGCCCCGTACCCCCTCCAGAACGTCCCATACTCCCTCCAGAACGGCCCATACTCCATCCAGAACGACCCGTTCTCAACTATGATTTACAGGTCAATTTGATAGTTTGGAATGGCCAGTTCCAGATTAGGAACGGTCCGTTTTGGGCTAGTAAATCACCTATATTGGGCTTTTGGGCCTTCTAAAATAACTTACTACGTTACATATATAACTATGAAATAATTTTCATCTTATAAATTAATTTTGTAAACTTAAATTAAACTCAAGATCACTTTCTTAAAATAATATCAAATCTTATTTCCCCGAATAATATTGGACCTATTGAGTTACTTGTTATCAAGTCGACATTGAATTATCCATTTTCTACTAGTTTATACATGTGATCCAATATAATTTTTCTTGTATTATATTTTTTTTATGGAATTGAAGCAAGGATAAAGTTGTGTCTTACCATCATCTAGATTTTTCATTACTAAAAAAATGAAGACAAAGTTGTGCCTTTCCATTATCCAGAATTCTCATTACTAAAAAAAAAGAAAACTAACATTATTTAATTTTAAGAACTAAAATATCAAATTTGTGATAAAAATTTGTTAGAGAACCAAATTTGTCCACTTGTGAAACTACATATAACAAAAAGTGGATTTAACCTAGTCTAATAAAAAATTGTTAGATAACTGAATTTGAATATTCGTGAAAGTATATACATGTAACAAAAGTGGATTTAATTAACCTTGTCTCTAGTTACATCACATCAACAACAACAATCACTGTTTCTTACTGGAGAGGTGTACGGCTGAGGATTTTTTAAGAACGTATTTGGAAATAAAAATGCAAGCCATGAGTGTTAAGATTAAGAAGCAAAAAAGAGTTTCTATAATTATATGTGTTTGAAGTAAAGGTGTTGGAAAGGAAAAATAGGAGAAGACCGCATTAGAGATTCGAAAAAGCATGCAACCAAAACCCGTAAACCGCCCCTTGTAAAGCCATCCACCTTCTTCTCTCCCACTGTCTTCGCGACACTCATATAAATCCCCTCTCACTCCAAACCAAACCAAACCAAACCTCAGGACTTGTTATTCTCAAATGGACACAAACATCGGATCCATCGACGCGTGTAAGCCCGCCAACAGCGACCTCGCCTCTCCCCCCAACGGCGCCGTTTCCACCGTCCAGGGCTCGGCGGCCCTCGCCTCCTCCGAGGCCACGCTGGGGCGCCACCTGGCGAGGCGGCTGGTGCAGGTGGGGGTCACCGACGTTTTCTCCGTGCCCGGTGACTTTAACCTCACCCTCCTCGACCACCTGATCGCGGAGCCCCAGCTGAAGAACATAGGCTGCTGCAACGAGCTCAACGCCGGCTACGCCGCCGACGGCTACGCCCGCTGCCGTGGCGTCGGCGCCTGCGTCGTCACCTTCACCGTGGGCGGCCTCAGCGTGATCAACGCCATCGCCGGCGCCTACAGCGAGAACCTCCCTCTCATTTGCATCATTGGTGGGCCCAACACCAACGACTTCGGCACCAACAGGATCTTGCACCACACCATTGGCTTACCTGATTTCAGCCAGGAACTTAGGTGCTTCCAAACCGTTACTTGCTACCAGGTCCATATCTCATCCTCAACTCCATATTTATATGATTATATCATATAACATGATCATTCTAGTTAGATCTTTATTTATTTTGTGCGGGAGAACGGAAAAGCATTCCATATGAAGGATCTACGTATTTATGTTTCATGAAACCAGACAATGACAGTAAAGAAAAATGCATTTTTATTGATTTATTTATGTTAAATTTTTAGATGGATATGAATGAATTTCATGGGTTGTGTGTTAAGTGATTTTTGTGCATGGTTTGATAGGCTGTGGTGAATAACTTGGAAGATGCTCATGAAATGATCGACACCGCGATCTCAACTTGCCTGAAAGAAAGCAAGCCTGTGTACATTAGCATAAGTTGTAACTTGCCTGGCATTCCTCACCCCACCTTCAGTCGTGAACCTGTTCCGTTTTCTCTCTCTCCAAGGTAAGCTTTTGTATATTATTTTAAGGGTTTAATATATAGTCGCTAACCATTTCTCTCAACTAAGAAGCAAAAAATGGTCATGCGATCGGGATGCAAATTTTTATGCTGATTCTGGTTGTGGTACTCATTCTAGTCGTACGTGATGCTGATTCCAGTACCAGAATCAGCTCTATTACCGACCAGGATATTATAGTTTGAGATTGGTTGATTGTTTTTAACACATAATTTTTTTTCTCTTATTTTAAATGGAAATGATCATGATTGGTCTGTATGTATCTCATTGATTTTGTTTACTTATTGGTGTTTCACAGATTGAGTAACCACTTGGGGTTGGAGGCAGCAGTGGAGGCAGCAGCAGAGTTTCTAAACAAGGCAGTGAAGCCAGTAATGGTGGGTGGTCCTAAACTGAGAGTGGCCAAGGCAAGTGATGCATTTGTAGAACTTGCTGATGCATGTGGTTATCCATATGCTGTGATGCCATCAGCCAAGGGCCAACTCCCAGAGGACCACCCTCACTTCATGGGCACATTCTGGGGTGCTGTCAGCACTGCATTCTGTGCTGAGATTGTGGAATCTGCTGATGCATACCTTTTTGCTGGCCCCATTTTCAATGACTACAGCTCTGTGGGGTACTCACTCCTCCTCAAGAAGGAGAAGGCCATCATTGTGCAGCCAGATCGTGTTGTGATCTCGAATGGACCTGCATTTGGGTGCGTTTTAATGAAGGATTTCCTCAAGGGACTTGCAAAGCGTCTCAATAAGAACACCACTGCATATGAAAACTACTACAGGATATTTGTCCCTGATGGACAGCCTGTGAAGGCTGAACCTAGGGAACCCTTGAGGGTTAATGTTCTGTTTAAGCACATACAACAGATGCTGTCTAGTGAAACTGCTGTCATTGCTGAGACCGGGGACTCTTGGTTTAACTGCCAAAAGCTGAAGCTACCAAAGGGGTGTGGGTAAGTAGCTTTGAGAATGTTATTTTTGGTGTTTGTTGTTTTGTTTTTTTGCCATTGTTCTTTTTTCAGTTTTGAAGAAAAGGTATGTTGATAGGTATGAGTTCCAAATGCAATATGGCTCAATTGGATGGTCTGTTGGTGCAACTCTTGGCTATGCTCAGGCTGTTCCTGAGAAGCGTGTCATTTCTTGCATTGGTGATGGAAGCTTTCAGGTTTGTCTTAGCATAACTACTTAAAAGAAGAAAAAAAATGTTTTTATTTAGTTATACTCAGATAAATTTCTAATTTTTAACCAAAAGGGGTATGGTCTAGCATAAGGAACTAGTCCCACAACATGATGTATCTGACTATATATGTCTTGAACAAAATTTTGAAGGGAAAGTAAAAATATTAGTGGGTGGGTTTTATTTTTTTCTTACTCATAAATTCTAGAACTGATCATAATGTTTCTATTTTGATTTTCATTTCTTTGTAGGTAACAGTTCAGGATGTGTCCACAATGATAAGAAGTGAGCAGAAGAGCATCATCTTCCTGATAAACAATGGTGGATACACCATTGAAGTTGAAATCCATGATGGGCCATACAATGTGATTAAGAACTGGAACTACACTGCCTTGGTTGATGCAATCCACAATGGTGAAGGAAAATGTTGGACCACTAAGGTGAGATTATTCTTAACATAGTAATATACATTCTTATAACATTGAAAAATTGAAGGTTTAATCATCTAGTATCTATAATTTCATAAATGTTATCTTTTAATTTTTATAATTATAGAAGACGGATTAAAAAGAAACCACAATGACATGTAGGAGACTAAAATAACATTTTTAACTATCAAAATTAAAAGGAAAAAAGTCATCTAAAAGAATAATTAAACTGAAATTGAATATTGCTGCTAATATTATGATGCAGGTTACATGTGAAGAGGAACTTATTGAGGCAATTCAGACAGCAACAGAAGACAAAAAGGATTGTTTGTGCTTCATTGAAGTGATTGTTCACAAGGATGACACAAGCAAAGAATTGCTTGAATGGGGCTCAAGGGTGTGTGCTGCCAACAGTCGTCCTCCAAATCCTCAGTGAATTTCAGATTAAGAAGTTTATGGAATCAATGGAGTTTTGCTATGTTTAAGTTGAGATCAATTTTAATTAAGATGCTTATGTACGAGAGGAATTTTCCTTTGTCAATGCTTTGAGCATTTATTAATTAAATGAGTGTACTACATTTTATGTAAATTTTTTCTTTGCGGCCGAAAGTTAATCTACCACTTTATTATGAATCATGCTTCTGGATTCTTAATTTCTTATGATTAGACTCACCTTGTTTTATGGGGATTGAGTGTGGAAAAAACAAAGCGGCTGAATTAGTAATTATTACAATCAAATTACAATGATACGGTTTAGAATATTGAACGACGACCTTTTCTTTTTAATTCTTTACTTTATATATAGAATGTGCTTACTCTTCCAGCTATTAGAAAAATAAAATAAAATAGACCAACTTAATTTCATGTTGGAAACAAATATGTAACTATTTTTTTATATTTTGTTTTCATTTTATGGATGGTATAATGAAATTCATTTTTTAATTAGCTTTCGCCAACAATGATAATTGTAAATACCTATATATAAAATTTAAATAAATATAATTGCGCGCGTACATAAAGGTGAAAATAATAAATAATAATACAGTAGGATGTTACTATTTTATATATATATATATATAAAGCTTAAAAAAAAGAAATATTTTATTAAAAATATGTTGTCTTCATTGTTTTTATAATTAAATTTGTGTTTTCATGGTGATTATTTTTATGGTTATTGTAATATATTAGACAATTTTTTTAATTAATATACTACAAAAAATATGCAATTTAGCGACCACCAAAATTGGTCGCTAAATTGCAAAAATCGATCGCTATTTATATTAGCGACTGAATTCAATCGGTCGCTAAAACCCTGGTCGCTAAGCTATTTAGCGACCGAAAATTTTGGTCGCTAAAAGGTTGAAATGATGACCAAATTAGTGACCGAATAAATCGGTCGCTAAATCGGTCGCTAAATATTTATTTTTTATTTTATTAAATTTTATAGACGTCGCAAATTTGGTCGCTATGAACCACTCATATTTGACCTCTTAAGGATTTTATTTCACAATACTTAATTTTTTAGCTTGTTTTGTCCTCAATTACACAATTTTTAGAAACTTCCCAGAAGGTCACCCATCCCAACATTACCCCAAGTCAAGCACGTTTAACTGTGAAGTTCTTATGAGATAAGCTACCGAGAAGCAAATGCATATTGTTAGTATAAGTAGTACAAATTAATTCATTTAAGTTATCCTCAACTATACAATCTCATACTTATATTATTTTTGGATCCTTATCATTTTGGTATATCCGGACCGTTATAAATATATAATAATATATATAATAATTATATTACTAATAATAATAATTATATTATATTTAATTAATCTTTATTTATATATATACTTACTTTTATAATTAACAATCTACTTATTTCTATTTAAAATTAATTTTATGATACAATTTAAATTATTTATTATAAATTTAAAAGTTTAAGTAATAATTTATATATTTTAAAATGAGAAGGGTTATAATAACACTGGTATAACTTTTATACTAAGTATTACACCGCTCAATAAATTTATATTAAATGTGAATTTTGTAAATCCAACCGATAGATTGAAAGTTCATATCACTTTATATGTTTATATCAATTTTTGTTAAAATTAAACAACAACTTAAAAGTAATCAAAGTGCTCATATTTTATTTGAAATGAATATATTACGTCAATTTTGTTTTACAAGAATGAAGTATCAAATCATCTTGAATTCATATAAGATTTTGTATATATGATCTAAGAGTAAAAAACTTTCAATCTAACGGTTGAATTTATAAAATTCACATTTAATATAAAGTTATTGAGCGATGTAATACTTAGTAAAAGTTACACCGATGTTATTATAACCCTTCTCTTTTAAAATATTATTTTTATAAATTAAATTTTAACATTTTAAATAAATTATTAATTAACTTAATATATTTATTCATCTTAAATCTAAGATATAAAATTCAAAAAATGTATTTATCCTTGCTTTATTTTCTAATTATCAACCATTAATAAAATACTAATTTAAAATTTAATGTCTTGCACTTACAAAAAAAAGAAAATGGGATTGATACTCAACAAAAATATTATCATCATTTTTAAGCAATTTATAATTTTTTTTTAAGTTTTACTTAGTGACCGAATAGAATTTCGTTGCTAATTTTAACTAATATTTAGCAACTGAATAGAATTACATCGCTAATTGTAACTAATATTTAGCGATAGAATTTAATTCTGTCGCTAAAAAAATCAAAATTTCTGATTTAGAAACCGAATTCAATTCTGTCACTAATTTTAACTAATAGTTAGCGATCAAATTTAATTCCATCGCTAAAAAAATCAAAATTTTTGATTTAGCGACCGAATTAAATTTCGTCGCTAAATTTAACTACTATTTAGCAATCAAATTCAATTTTGTCGCTAATTTAACTAATATTTAGCGACTAAATTCAATTGGCCACTAAAAAAATCAAAACTTCTAATTTAGCGACCGAATTCAATTCCGTCGCTAATTTTAACTAATATTTAGCGACCGAATTAAATTTTGTCGCTAATTTTAACTATTATTTAGCGACCGAATTAAATTCCGTCGCTAAAAAAATCAAAATTTATAATTTAGCGACCGAAATAGCCACCGAATTCAATTCTGTCACTAAATTTAACTACTATTTAGCGACCGAATTCAATTTCGTCGCTACTTTGAACTATTATTTAGCGACTGAATTAAATTCTGTCGCTAAAAAAAATCAAAAATTATAATTTAGTGACTGAAACCGAAATAACGACCGAATTCAATTCTGTTGCTAATTTTAACTAATATTTAGCGACCGAACTAAATCCCGTCGCTAAAAAATCAAAATTTATAATTTAGCAACCGAAATAGAGATTAAATGTATTTTCGTCGCTAAAAAAAATCAATATTTATAATTTAGCGACCGAAATAGCGACTGAATTCAATTCCGTCGCTAAATTGAACTACTATTTAGTGACCGAATTCAATTCCGTCGCTAATTTTAACTAATATTTAGCGACCGAACTAAATTCCGTAGCTAAAAAAAATCAAACTTTTTAATTTAGCGACCGAAATAGAGACCAAATTAATTCCGTCGTTAAAAAGAATCAAAATTTATAGTTTAACGACCGAAATAGCGACCGAATTTAATTCCGTCGCTAAAAAAATCTAAATTTTTTATTTAACGATTAAAATAACGACCGATAAATTTCGGTCGCTAATTTCGGTCGCTATTTTGCAATTTTCTAGTAATTTTCGCCAACAATGATAATTGTAAATACCTATATATAAAATTTAAATAAATATAATTGCGCGCGTACATAAAGGTGAAAATAATAAATAATAATACAGTAGGATGTTACTATTTTATATATATATATATATAAAGCTTAAAAAAAAGAAATATTTTATTAAAAATATGTTGTCTTCATTGTTTTTATAATTAAATTTGTGTTTTCATGGTGATTATTTTTATGGTTATTGTAATATATTAGACAATTTTTTTAATTAATATCTTTCATATATAATATTTTTTATTTAAATCATATTTAATTTTATTTAATATTGTATATCATTCATTTAAAATTGTGAGCTGAAAATGAGCTTTCTTATTTATTTTATTCTAATTGTACTCCTCTTCTTTAAAATTATAATTCCATAATATATACTTGTCGTAACATGGTTGGACTATTACTACGTGGAAAAGGTGGCATGCACTTTTTTTTTTATCAGTAAGTGGCATATTTTATTGCAAGATGCTGGTCAAATGGCATTTTAATAAATATCAGTACGAGGGTCAGCAAGATTTGTGAACACCAGACAATCACAGGTGTTTCACATCTTTGTAATACCTCGTACGTAAAGATGGATTCCTTAGCTTTTGTTAATCTTGTCTGTGGGCGAAAGAGGAGAGCAATAAAACTTTGGTGTAAAAATAATGCACAGTTTTATTTTTTAAACATTAAATAGTTGATATTATATTTGATATTGACATATTGTATATAAATCTTTTTGTCTCTTATTTATTTTTATTTTTATTTTAAACACATCTCAAAAATATCTTCTTTTTTTTGAAAAAACAGCAAGAGTTACTCTACTTTGACCGTAGGAAAATATTTTATAGTAGTACGTGAGAGATGATTTGCACAAGAGTAACTTTATCATTTTATAACATCTTGCGCCACTTGCATCACTCAAATGAATTGAAAATGATTGAACACCTCAATAGTCAATATCAGAGACATTCATTTCATATTTCTCTCTTTTTTGTTATATCATATTATTTATTATTTTTATCTCGTTTTTTTTTTCCTTTCATTTTCTCTCTCTTCAAATGTTAATAGAGATATTAGTATCCGCAAAACATTATTCAAAAGATTTTTCACTTTACAACAGTCTGTTTTAAGTATGCGACTATATTGTAAGAATTGCACTTTTAATTTATACAAATTTGATTTTTTTTCTTTCATTTCTGTCTTTTACGTCGATCTATATTAGTCTTTTTTCTGTCAAATTTTTGAAGCAAACTCTAATTTTGAACATTATATAAACATCTTCCTTTGTGAAGTGTCAATAATAAGATTTTTTTTCTAAAAATAATATTTCTTTTGTTTCAAGCCAATTCACAAAGAAAAATACTCATTAAAATACTTGCAATCTTTAAATTAAGTATTCAAGAGGTCTTTCGTGTCAAATACAAATATATCACTTGTAAAGAATCTAACATTCAAATCAGTAATTATAAAAATGATAGAGTCAAATTAGAGTGAATGTATAACTTGTACCTATTTTGATTAATATCTAATGTGATGTCTATATATTGATCATCATGTTGTGTTGGTCATAGATCGTTCTTGACTTTAGTTTAAATTAACTTGCTTGTAATGCTTACCCGTGAACAAGCATGTTTGATTTGTGAGTTTAGAATTAAAATGTAGGTCCAAGGTATGCCTGATATATTAGTCCATAATATCTTTTATTATCTCTAAGTAATTTTAGTACTTACAAACCCTAACCCTCTATCTTTATGTGTTAGGTGTGAAATTCTAATGCAAATTTTGACCATACAATTGAATATTAGCAACATATTCTCAAACATATTGACTCCCATACTTTATATTATTAAATAAAATTTATTAGAAACACAAGAAAAATTCATTAAATAAGTACTAATAAACAAGTCATATATTTAAGAGAGAATTGAATTAACAATTTAGTTAGCTTTTGCATCTTGTCTATGACATCCTTTCTTATTTGTCTACTTAAGTTTGACTTGGAAATATGAATAATTAGACGTTAACCTCTACACAGGTATACAATTTTAAGCTAAAAAACCAGTACAACATCACGTTCCAATAGTAAAAATTCTAAGAAAAAAATGGATATATGCCAATTTCATTTTTATAAATCTAGCCTACAGAACAATTATATTCAAATTTTGAATATCCATAGAATGGTAAAACTAACTCCCCCAACACGGGTTTCTCGTACCCAAGACTGAAACCCAACGTTAAAAGGAAAAAAATTAAGCATGTATACTTGAATCGATTACCTGATTCAATTTCATTGAGTTATTTAATAAAATTTAAACATTAAACTTATAGAGCTAGACAAAATTCAGAGCTAATTCCAGTTGAAAATCCAAAGAAAAAAAAGTTCAAAGTCCCCTCTCAAAATGATTTGCTATAGGTAAAGCAAATGCAATTTGACATGATTGCATGTGTAACAAATCAAGTTGCAGTGATATAGGAAATGAAATCTAATGGAATGACGAAGTCCATCTCGCAAAGTTCCTCCTACTGGAATTGAGGTCAAACCATCTAATATCACCATACTTAAAAGCAAGGTAAGGTGAAAAGTTAAACTCTCCTTTTTCCATTTTAGATGGCAAAAATGCTTACCTTAACTACATACTTGTGCTTCATTTCGTGTACTCAAAAGATAAGCTCAAAATTAGTCTTGCTTAACATAAGTGTAGAGAAAAACTAGTACTACCGGACATTGTTACGAGGTTCCCTTGGTGCATGAACCAAACGTCCATTTTGACGTAGGTTAGAAGGAAAGGAGGATTGGCAGCTGCTAATATGTGATTTTAACCGTGGCATGGTTGGATGCGCACTTCTACATCTGTGACACCTCAACTCCATAGACAGTAACTTGTCATCATCTTTCAGTGTTAGAAAGATTAGGAGCGTGTTTGGAAATTCATTTTTTTAACGAAAATATAAAAACATGCGTTGCAAAGTACTAAAATACAAAGTAACTTTTCTTATCTTTTACATTGAACATAAGTTTGCAAGATTTTAATAATAAACCAAACACATACTGCGTCCTATAGCTTTAGAATGTATGAAAAACATCGTATTTAAGTTGGCCATGGGTCCTATCCTCCACTTTTCTACCTCTGGTAAAATTTCTTTTTCTAAAAAAATTGTTGTAACTTGTAAGTCTTGCAAGCCTTAGATTTTCCTTGAAACCTATGCAGGAAGCAGTCAAAATGGTGCAATCTTCAGAAACAAGAGAAGGGTTCAATCTCATTCCTGATGTAAAATGGGAAGACGTTGGTGGCCTTGATCTCTTAAGAAATGAGTTTGATGACTATATCATAGGGCCTATAAAATGTCCTGGGGATTATGAGGTGATTTTCAAATACTGCACTTCTTTTATTTCTATTATATTACAATTGCTGTTAAATCAAAGTTGGCTCATGCATCAAGCTTTTCTTTTTTTGTGATTAAATACTGAGATGAAATAAATAGCAGAGTGTATTTGTAATAAAAAGGTGATGAATGGCCTGAATTTTAGGAAAGGAAACATCAGGGTCTATTTGTTAGGACCTCAACTAATAAGTCGGCAAAGGGAAAAATATATGTGAGGAATATATATAGTCTTTTAGAGGGAGAGAACGAGGGAAAGGATTGACATTGTATCTAGTATATTTTATTTTTGTTGCTGGTACTGCTGTACAACCAAAATGATTGCAAAATGTATCATGACCAATTTTAACACTGTTTTCTTAACTCAATATTCATTTTGGCCTCTTTTCTCTCTTCAAATTTTTTGATCAAACTAGTTGTCAAAATTTGAGTGAAGAACCTCTGTTTCTGTTTACATCAATTGGCTTGTTTCTGTCATATGTTCTAGAGTAATAGTGCAACCAGCTTCCTTATCTGTGTAATACTATACTATTCACAAAATTCCTTAGATGGTTTGATATCTTTATTACCAATTCTCTTGCTATATTTTATTTTTGTACTCTAAAATTGATCAATTATTTTTTGTCTTTGCTGCTTCATGAAAAAATAGGATTAGTTGTATGTCAGATGTGGATCACTAATCAATAATATTATTGGATTTATTCATTTCAGGGATTTGGGCTGGATCTTTCGACAGGATTTTTGCTTTATGGACCTCCAGGTTGTGATAAACCACTGGTTGCCAAAGCTGTTGCCAATGCTGCAGGAGTTAGTTTCCGTCATATTAAGGTTTGTCTAAAATATCATGTCCTATTTTAACAGTTTTGGTTTGTATGATGTTCCTCTGTTTATGATAAACCATTTTTAAATGCTCTAAATTCTTTTTATTGAATTGTTAGGGACCTGATATTATAAATGAGAATATGTTGGAGTAAGTGAGAATATTGTTAGGAAAATATTTGGTGCTGCAAGGTCTTGCGCACCTTGCATACTATTTTTTGATGAGATTTGTGGTTCTTTGTCCTTAGGAATCTTGGTTAACCCCAATATTTATCATGACAAAATCAATAAATTCTGATCTGTAAACTATAAAAATTCATGTCTGAAATTCTATTTCTCTGAATGATTTATCTATTATTACTATTACAATCTGTTTTTGTTGTGCTTCTATATTTGTTATGTTGTAAATCTCACTCCCAGCTTGCACTAGCAGTCATCATTGTGCATGTTGGAAAAGTCATTTTTTGTTTACTTGGTTGACAAGTTATATGCAGATTATCCCTTAAGGGCTTATATGAGTTATCGGCGAACTGATTTTATTGTACTTGTGCATCCATTATGATTTCCTTGATCTATATGAAGGGACTTATGAGTTCTTGGTAAACTGATTTTGTTTTCAATTGTTTGCTGGTATGCTTCACTGTTAGTTTCATTGTGTATTAAGAATTATTTTTACCATTTTCAGTTGGATGCAAACTTCTTTGTAGAGAGTTTCAAACACATGAGCTTCTTTTTTACAAAGAGAGGGGGTAATAGAGTGGCACATGAGTAGAACATTTGTTACCAAAAATGAAATAATATTATTAATCATTCTGTAAAGAGAATTTTTAAATAATATCTCTTGCTTGTCTCTTCGGAAGAAAACGAATCTGAATGATTTTGTTTCTGTGGATTGATATGATAAAACCAAAACATTTTATTTTGGGCAGTTTGGTAAAAGAGTAATGAAAATGTTACCAAGTATGACAGAGGGGATTATTCCATACCTTACCTCCTGCAAAGGCTTATTTAGAAAGAGGCTCCATATCTGGTGACGTGGCAGGGTTTGATTGGAGGGTTAAGATTTAGGGGCTTACGTGGCATACCTTTTATGGGTAAGCTGTTTCAGTTGATACTATTCTTGTTTAAAGATACAACGTTATGCATAATGTATAAGTGTTAGTTTTAATTAATATAAAAAATCACATTACAAAAATGTAAATTACTTAGCACTTTAAAATTTGAGTAATGTATGATTTGATGTTTCACATTTAAAGAGATGTATTTTGATCCCCCACAATTTTAACATATGAAAGCAACCCTTGTTATAACGATTTCATAGTTAAATTGCCGTGAATTATTAATTATTTGGTTATTCGAATCTAACTCAGGAAATTAGCTATGGGAATATTTTGTGAATTTTAAAAATATAAAAAATCAAAATACACTATTTTAAAAGTCATCAAAAATAAATCCCACGTGGCATTTAGGGTACTAATTAATTAGTAAACTTTTTTTTTTGAAGCAAATGAACTTCAGTTGGATGCAAACTTCTTTGTAGAGAGTTTCAAACACATGAGCTTCTTTTTTACAAAGAGAGGGGGTAATAGAGTGGCACATGAGTAGAACATTTGTTACCAAAAATGAAATAATATTATTAATCATTCTGTAAAGAGAATTTTTAAATAATATCTCTTGCTTGTCTCTTCGGAAGAAAACGAATCTGAATGATTTTGTTTCTGTGGATTGATATGATAAAACCAAAACATTTTATTTTGGGCAGTTTGGTAAAAGAGTAATGAAAATGTTACCAAGTATGACAGAGGGGATTATTCCATACCTTACCTCCTGCAAAGGCTTATTTAGAAAGAGGCTCCATATCTGGTGACGTGGCAGGGTTTGATTGGAGGGTTAAGATTTAGGGGCTTACGTGGCATACCTTTTATGGGTAAGCTGTTTCAGTTGATACTATTCTTGTTTAAAGATACAACGTTATGCATAATGTATAAGTGTTAGTTTTAATTAATATAAAAAATCACATTACAAAAATGTAAATTACTTAGCACTTTAAAATTTGAGTAATGTATGATTTGATGTTTCACATTTAAAGAGATGTATTTTGATCCCCCACAATTTTAACATATGAAAGCAACCCTTGTTATAACGATTTCATAGTTAAATTGCCGTGAATTATTAATTATTTGGTTATTCGAATCTAACTCAGGAAATTAGCTATGGGAATATTTTGTGAATTTTAAAAATATAAAAAATCAAAATACACTATTTTAAAAGTCATCAAAAATAAATCCCACGTGGCATTTAGGGTACTAATTAATTAGTAAACTTTTTTTTTTGAAGCAAATGAACTTCACTCATTTCATTAATGATAAGAGATGCAATACATGGAGGAATAAAATCAAAAGATTGGTGACTAGCGGAAGATCTTGACACCCTTGCTAAAGTGTGGGCGACCCGATTGACTTGTCTCCTAATAAACCTAACCTGAAGGTTTTGATGGGAACGTAACAGGGATCTACATTGATTTATAATGATCCCATATTCAGAGTGAAGAACGTGCGTGTTGTTTAGATGATCCACTACTTGCTTGCAGTCCGTTTCCACACAGACATTTTCGTATGGAGAATGAATGAGGTATTGGAGTGCTTCCAACATAGCTGCTGCTTCTGCCTCATGGGGTGGTGGTAGGTCATGCTTCCATCCAGATATAGCAGTCTGGAATAATCCTCTTGTATCACGAACACAAATACCGAACCCAAAAGTGGAGGAATCCTTGAAGAGCGCCGCATCAACGTTGCACGTGAAGGTGTTGGTAGGAGGTTTGGTCCATCTGTGGTTCACAACGGGGGAGGCATTTTGTGTCAAGTTCCTTTGTGCAGATTGCCATGCATGGAAGTGTTGTTCCGTTAGCTGGATTGAGGTTCTTGGGGGAGGGGCACTCTCCTTCCATACTTTGTCGTTTCTCCGCCGCCAGATGCACCAAAGCATGAGGGTGAACGATGTTAAGTCAGAACCTGTTAAGTGACCTAGCAGTTTCCACGTGGTGTCAATGAAGCTGATGCCTTACTCTACTATACGGGCGATCCGCGGCCAACATCCTGAGTCTATCCATATGGATATGGCGGCTGGGCAGCGATAGAAGAGGTGCCATTCGTTCTCCTGGTTTGCAGAACAATGGGGGCAAGAAGACGTGCATGGGACGCCTTTCTATTGTAGGTTCAGGCGCGTGGGAATGCAACCTCTCAATAGTCTCCAAAGGAAAATCTGTGTTGAGTGAGGGATCTTCAAGCTCCATAGTTTCATCAAGTCACCCTGCACTCTCAATGTATTGTTGGAGATGACATGTTCCATGAGATGGTGATATGTTGTGCGTACTGAGTAGGAGCCATTGGTTGTTAGCCTCCAAGTTAAAGAATCTGGGCGTGAGGGATTCAACAATGGTATAGATAGGATGGATTGAGCATCTTGATGATTGAAGAGAGTTTGCACTCGATGCGAATCCCACTTGTGAAGAGCGCGATAAATGAGGTCGTGGACAGTGAGAGATTCGTATCCTTGAGGGGCTGTTGAGGTAACATACGGGCTAAACTTTTTGAAAAGTACTAATAAAAAAATTACATTAAAAATTAACAATTTCCTTTTTAAAAAAGTGACGTAATGTAAGGTGATATACGTTAGTTATCTTACACCTATAGAAGAAACTTCGACTTAATTAAATCTACTTTTAACCTCTAATTTTTTTTATAAAAATAATAATACGGGCTATATAACGTTTAAACTAAATCTATTGCCTAAATTCCTTCTTTGGTGGCGTTGTATAATTTTAAATCTAATCCGAAAGTCTAAGGAGAAAGTCAAAAGATATATTCCTTTTAGTAATTATTTTAATTTTTATATTTTATTTTATGATGGATTGAGATATGTATATGAAATGAGATATGTTAAATGTGAATTGAGATGTGAAGATGATGAATGATTGATTTATATAAATATATATATATATATATATATATTTTATCAAAGTTAATACCTTAAAACTAATGAACTAATTATATTACCAATTAAATCATTATATTTTTATTATTTAATTTTTATTTTTATTTTATTTTTAATTGAGACATGAAGTGCCTGATAAATAAAGTGAATGTGAGAGACGTATGAAAGAATGGAGTTAGTATTTGCATTTCTACTCTATCACCTTTTTTTTTTTTTTTTTGCGTTTCCTTCTATTTACAAACAAAATTTTCAATTAAAATTCTAAGTTTCTCATGCTTTTCTATGTTATACTCATGCTCTATTTGAAATAAATTTATTTCCTAATATAAGAGAATCTGAAGATGTAACTATAAGAATTGGATTTGTTATCATGATTATAATATCTTGATTTTCTCTTATATTTGTTTAATCAATTCTTTTTATTATAAAATTCTTCTATAAATTTATAAATACTGTTGTAAGCTGATTTTGAATTTTCAAGGTGTTACAAAATGAAACACTATTCAATAAACAATATAAATAGTATTCTTTTTTGCTACATATAAATAGTACTTTAAATCTTAAAGAGATGTGACTAAGATTAATTAAGATTAGCTTACAACTTGATAAAATGGGTTAGTTTGATTCAATAATATATCAGGCTAAATTCAGGCAACAACCAAAGTCGATGTTTATAGTCATGGTTGTACTATATTATTTTTCTTTTGTTTTTGTATTTATTTATTTTTTATTTTATAATTTTTCCAAATTGATAAATATTATTATTAATTAGTTTTGAAGTTTCAGGGTATACCAAAAATAATGAAGCACTATTCAATAAACAATATGAGCAGTAAATTAACCCATTGTTTTATTTTATTTATATTGGATTAAGCTGATAATATATAACTTGATAAAAGAAAGTTAGTTATAAAGCCTGACTGGGGCAACTGTACTGTGTAAGGATTTTCTTTCCTTTTTAATATTTTCATTCTCATTTCCTCACTCTTTATTTTTCTTTTGTTTTTTAAATAAACTTTAAAATATTATTTTGTAAAGAAATAAATAAAATATGAAAGCAGGAAGATTTATTTAAAAAGAAGACAATTTTGAATAATAATATTATTAATTTTTAAAACGTAAAAATAAAATTAGTTCATTGACACAAGCTCGTATTTATTTACAAGGAAATTCTTTTAATCGAAGATAAACTTTTATTTTTTTCTAATGAAATGCAAAAGGACTGAAACATATTCAACCACAATATGATTGAGACTCAAAAAGAATACTATGATGATTTCAAATCTTAACGTATGCATAAATAATTTTAATGTATGAAAAATCGAAATAACATGGTAAATGTTTTTGCAACAAATAAATTAAACTCTTAAATGAACTAAAAGTAACTTTCAATACTAGAGCTATTTGATTTAACTGCTAAAAGTTTGTAAAATGAACATCTAATTTCATTTTTAGGACTAGCATATGTCTTTTTCCACAGTACCGAAGTATGAGAATAAAGAGTGCATTGTTATTTAAGAATTTACTTTTCATGGGCCTTTATTTATTTATATTAATATTGATATATGATTGAATGACAGTAAATTTCCATCAAGATGTGTATTATAATTGGTTATTTAAACTATCAAGTAAGTTGTGCACACCAAAAATATAATATCTAATAAACTTAAATTGTTGGAGCATACAATATGTTGAATACATACATATGTATACAACTGAATATAACTTAAACCGAGGGAACTATGAAACAACCACTAAAAACATCTTGAAACTACTTACTATATGTTGCTTTATCATTGGGTTCAACATGGTTAATGAGCTTAGTCTTTATTTTGACACTGTGCATAAACAAAAAAAGATTGATTCAGAAATACAAAACTGAAGTTTATGAAAAATGTAAATTTTCTTAATGCATAAGCTAAATTATTTAACATTTTACCTTAGAATTCAGTACCTCCACCTAAGAGTTCTGTATCTCTTTCCTCCACGGTGTTCATATGCAAAATCAAGCCGTGAGATGATCCTGTATAGCATTTCTTCTACTTGTTTGGAATACCACAACCTCCATCTACTCCAGAAAATAAGAGGGAGGATGAAAATTCCAAAGCCAAAAATAAATCCCAACTCTGCACTTAATAAATTCCAATCAATTGAACTCTCAGTATGTGAATGAGGTGTTTCATGTGTTGGCACTTTATCATTGTTGCAATTATGCGTTAATGGAGGTCCACATAACTCTTCATTCCCTTCAAAGGAATCAGCATCAAATGATTGAATTTGGGTACCCATTGGAATTTCCCCCACCAAGTGATTATATGAGAGATTCAAATATGCAAGGAAAGATAGACTTGCAAGCTCTGTAGGAATTTTTCCATTGAAAGAATTGTTTGATAAGTCTAGAGACTCAAGATTCTTCAAATTTCCAATAGATGATGGGATATGACCTGAGAGGGCATTGTTTGACAAGTTAAGAGCATTCATTGCCTTGAACTGCATTAGCTCATTGGGTATTGGACCCTCAAAATGGTTGTTTGACATATCCACATAAGTGAATGCCCTTTGGATTCTGTCCAACTTCATTTGTTGACCTTTGTTGGTAATAAGAATTGAATTTTGATATCGAGAAATATCCACTACATAAGCATCAGAGGATCCCTGGTCAAGGATGGAACGAGATATGTTTGTAACAAGTTTAGTTAATTTTGCTACAATATTTTTGTCCAAATGTGACAATAAATCTTCATAATTTTTGGGATCATAGTGGTCAATGATATCAATGAATAAGTGCCCAAATTCTGGATCAACATCGGCATTATCATACGTCATTGCTTTCCAATTATTCAATAGTATCCTTGGTATCACACCACTAAAATTATTAGAGGATAGATCAACAATATGAAGCATTTCCCAATCACCACTACTTCTAGGGCATCTAATTGACCCGTGAAGTTTGTTTAATCTTAAATCCATGATTCTCAAGGTGGAAATATTACTTAAGAAACACGGAAATCCACTAGAAAATGAATTTTTTCGAAGGTTTAGGACTTGCAGATTCTGGCAATTGGCTAAAGATTTTGGAATAGTACCCTCCAAAAGATTATCATTTACATCCAATAACTTTAGAGTACATGAAGTTGTGAGAGAATTTGGAATATAACCTTGAAGTTTGTTTCCACCAAAATTTAACACCCTTAAGGTGCTACTCAACGTAGCAAAACACTTGGGAATCGTTCCAACAAAGTTATTGTGAGACAGATCTAGCAAGCGAAGACTTGAAGCATTGCAAAAGGATTCTGAGATTTGTCCTTGAAAACTGTTATTTGAAAGAGACAACAATATTATGAAAGGGAGACGATTTCCAATGTCAAGTGGAATGGCAGAGTTGAATCTATTATTTGAGTAGTCCAAATAATTTACAAACGTTGGAAAGAAAGGATAAGGCCCTTGCAAATGGTTGGAACTAAGATCAACCATCAAAAGGTTTGAATTCAAGTTTGAAACATTTCCTTCCAAATTTGTTAGGAAATTTTTTGAAATATTCAAGATAACAAGATATTCAAGTTGCCAAATCCAATAAGGTATTGGTCCTTCAATCTCGTTGTTAGCTAGGTCAAGATGTAGTAATTTGGATTGATTTCTCAAGAAATTGGGGATTCCTCTCAACTTGCAAGATGCCAACATTAGATTTCTTAGAACAGGAAATGGTGACAAGTCACGATCATCTTTAGAGTATATATCAACTGACAAATTGTTATGCGAGAGGCTTAAAGTAGTTAAATTACTCAGCCTACGGATCATGTCCAATTGTATTGTGCCATTAAGCTTGTTTGATTTAAGTTCAATGACACGAAGTGTTCTAAGATTAAAAATAGACATAGGTATAGGCCCTTGCAAATTATTGCTCCCTAAATCAAACATCTCTAACAAAGGGGAGGCAATCACAAACTCATCCAAGATACCATTGAGTTGATTAAAGGAAAGTTTAAGTTCTCTCAAATAAGGGAGTTTAAGTAGAGATGAAGGGACACTCCCAGTGAAAAGGTTAAATCCTAAATCAATGCTGACAAGATTTTTAAGGCCTTCAAAATGACTTGATGGTAACACCCCACTTAAATGATTATTAAAGAGGGATAAATATGTCATATTTTTGGACATATTAAAAGAAGGGAGTGGACCAGAAAAGTTATTAGAAGACAAATCCAGATAAACAAGTTGGGTGAGTTCTGACATTGAATTAGGAAGTGTTCCATTAAATTTGCAATGAGATAGATCAATTGTAGATAACTGCTTTAAATTGGAAATTGCACCTGGAAGCTTTCCTGAGAAATTTGTATTGCTTAGAATCATGTCATGAAGAGAACCATTTGGTTGAAAGTTTGGCAAAGAACCCCTAAGATCTTTATTGTCTGAGATGTCAAGGACCTTCAAGGTTGGTATTTGGAAGATATCTTTTGGAAAGAAACCATTCAAGCCGCAACTTCTAAGTTGTAGTGTGACTAAATTGGAGAAATTTACAAAGGATTGTGGCACTATGCTTGACATGTTGTTATGGCTCAGTTTTAGAACGGTGAGTGACAGAAGCTTTGCCAATGAAGAATCAATAGGTCCAGAGAGATTGCATGATGACATGCTCAAAACACGTAGCATGTGCAATGAAGATAAAGCATGACACCATTCTTGTCCTTTGCCATATATTTCTACACCATCTAGATATAATTCTATGATATCCGTAAGGTTTTCCAAAAGCATAGCAATATTTGGCTTCTCCAGTTTCAGCCTATGATGTGAGGTAAATGTAGAAGACAAATCAAGAGTTACTAACCTTTTGAGGTGAGAAATCTCATATGGAATCTGCCCCTCAAAGCCAGCATTAGACAAGTTCAAATATCTCAAATTATTCAACTTGTATAACTCTGAAGGAATCATTGAACGGAAGTTATTGAAAGCCAAATTCAAGCTTTCTAGATTTTGAAGATCGAAAAGAACACTTGAATTTACAAGTCCTCCTGAGATAGACTCTTCACTAAGATCAAGGGCAATCACAATGCCCTTGTTGCATGTCACCCCATGCCATTGGCAACAATCTTCACTTCGATTCCAAAGAGTAAGCTTTTTGGACATTGTAGGGTTGAATATTAGGTTATTTTTCAAATGTAACAAGATGGAACACTCTTGGCCAAGCAAATAGCCATTGGCTGGAAAGACGTTGGCATTATAGTTTATTGAGCATAATGATATCAAGAAAGACCACAACAGTACGTATGCCCTCATTGTGAATAGAATATGGTATGTATTAGCAAGAATTATGGTAAAGAGATATTTTGCCATTTGAAACATCTATTTCTCCTTTTATAGACTACAAAAGATGTAATATTCATGATATGAATTTACTCGGTCTAACACGCAATTAAGTCACTTTTGAGTTTTGAACCACAAGAACAGCTACGTACCACATCTTTTACGTACCAATTTTTTTAGGCCATATAATTTTCTATTAATACAGTTTTTTTTTTTTGGTAAATTCCTATTAATACAGTTAGTTATACTATTATGATAAAAATATATTTAAATCTTTATCTTGATGCTTAAATTAATTTTTTTAGTTTTTGTTTGTTATATAACTAGAGTAGATTACTCATGCAATGCACGGGTTAAGTAACATATTGAATATTAGTTAAATTTAAAATTAAAATTAATCAAACTATGTATATTATGTAAGTATATACAAATAAATATGCATATAAATATTTCAAACCAATTAACATTGTCCGACCCTAATAGATTCTTAACAAATTTTATTTTCTTTCCTTTCAAGTATCTATTAATTATTAAAATCATTTCATCAAAAGTACTTAATAAAAGGTTAAATTAATTGATAGTTTTCTCTCTAATTGTAATAATTTTTAATTAAGCTTTCACTATTTTTTAAGAGTTAATTAATTTTAAAGGAAAATGGGTATGTGAATGTATTTTATTGCCTATTTAAGCTGAATTAAGTATTTGCTGACCGTTGAATTCTTAAATCAAAATGTTGAAATAAAATGGTTGAGTATCAGATCAAACGGAAGTCTTGTTCCCACTTATTTTGTCATCATGCGGAAATGGAAATCTATTTCCCACATATTTTGTCAGTGACATACCAAATGAGAAATTTTCAAAGATGCCAATTCTTGAGAATTTTATCAAAAAAAATTTAAAATTAAAAAAATTGAAATATATTTAATATTTAAAATTATAAAAATTAATTGAAAACTTGATAAAACAATAGAATCCCACATTCTAAGTTGCCATAATAGTTTCCCTAAAAAAAAAGTTGCCATAATAGAAATTCAAAATTCTCTCTTTCTTTAATGAATTCGATAAACACCATGACTACACAATTTCCAGTGTTCTAGTGGTAATTTACAAAGAATGAACTCCTTCAGTATGTTTTTTCTACGTATAAAACTGCAGGTATTTTTTTAATAGTTTATTTATTGTGTTAAATTATTTTTATTATTATTATTATATCATGGAATTGTTTCGTTTCAAGTGTAGAACCCCCGTAGATTGTATAGAGAACTTACCACTACCCAGTGCATGTTAGTTAGATTATATGACAAAATTTATATTTATATACTATCATTAATAAATTATATATTTAATGACATACCACCAGTTATTAAGTTTGTTCAGTAACTTATTATCCTAATACATTTAAGTCGATAGTCCAATTCTAATTTAATACTTCATAACAAAAATCATAACAACTAATTAAAAAAGTTAAAATACTTTTTTTCCCCTAAAATTTCACTTATTTTATCTTTTAACTCATTTATTTTAAAATATACTTTTTTAGTCATTATATTTGGATCTGTTTTTATTCCTATATTTTAAAATAAGTTTTTTTTTTTAGTTTTTATACTTGTAGTTTTTTAATCTTTTAATCTTTGTTGTTAATTTTTTATTATAATATTCTCTCTTTTATTAACATGACAAAGGTATTAATTCAACTTTATATATTTTATGTCAATTTATTTTACTTAAATTACTTTAAATTAAATCTTGAAACAATTTTTTATCTTTACAAAATTAAAGTTTTCTACCATGTCAATATAAAAAGAGACAATGTTGCGAAAAAACAATTAATAATAAGAATTAAAAAGACTTAAAAACTAGAACTAAAAATATTTATCTTTAATTATGAGAATTAAAAATAATTTTAAAAAATAAGTATAAAAATTAAAAATGTATATTTTAAACTATAAGAACTAAAAAAATAAAATAAGTAAAATTATAGGGATTAAAAAATATTTTAACCTAACTAAAATTAAAGATATCATATCAATTTTTGAAAATAATTTCTTAAAGAAAGTTATATAAATAAAAAATAATAATTAATGTCAATTAACTGATATGATTCATCATAATGATTCTATAATATTCCGACGACTATAATGCATATTCGGCTTTTACATTGATATTAATAATATATCCTATAAAATTAATCTGAATCTCTGTCCTTGAATAAAAGTGATTTTTCGAAATATTAATAAACAAGAGTATTTATTTTACGAATTATTTTTATTGAAAGCTTTCTTAGAAGTTATTCCCGCACTCATTCAGTCACATGTCTTATTCTAATATTATATATTAAGCTTTTGATTTTATATTTGATTAATCGTTTATTTATTTTGAATCAAATTTTTAATTTTAATTTTAAATTTATTTTTATATAACAACTTATCAACAAATAAAAATTTGACCACCTCAAACAACTTTTATTTTATTTTTATTTGTAAACCTGATGGTCTTAATTTCATATATGTCCGTCTATATCAAAATAATGTTAGCTCAACAGAAATTATATTATGTAAGTATGGATTAATTTGTATTGTCCACTTTAAGATATTGTGAGAATTATATTTATGAAAAACAAATTCATTTAGCCTTTTAATTTTATTCCTCGTTTGAATTTCAATATATTTTTTTAAAAAAAATCTCTTGCATAAAACCTCTTGTATATTAAATTTAGAAAAGGCATATAAGTGTTTTTAGGAGTTATATTTTAATGATAGTATTTTTAATTTTTTTTAATTAATAACATTTCGAGTATTTAATAAATCTTACATTAATTAATAAATTTCTTAAATATTGTAATAATATTTTTGATTAAATTTTTACAATTTTATTAAGAATCAATTTTAAAGGAAAATGGATATAAATTACCAAAAAAAAAAAGGAAAATAAACATCATTTTTATTTGTATAAAAATAATATTTACATTGTGAGTATAAATTTGTCCTTAATTATCACTTTTGAGATATTACGTGATTCATGTCCATAGATTTATTTTTTTTAAAAATGGGAAAATGGGTATCTGAAATGTATGTTATATTTATTACCTATTTAAGCTCAATTTAGTATTTGGTAAGCGTTGAATTGTTAAATCATGTTAAGTTGAAACAAAATTCTTATCATTTTGAATTTTCTACGTTCAAGTCATCATTTGAAAAGGGAAGTCTTTTTCACACATATTTTGTCAGTTGTACTGTATAAGAAATTTTCAAAGACGTCTTATTTAATTCTTGAAAATTGTATAAGTTTCAAAATTATAAAAAATTATCAATATAGTTCATATTTTTAATTTATAAAAATTAATTAAAACTGAAGAAAAATAAAAGAAACCTACGTATTAAATAAACCTTAATAAAAGTTCAAAATTCTCTGTTTCTTGAATGATTTCGCTCGAAACTGTTTATTATTACCGCTACATATTTTTTCTTCTTCTCAATTTCCGTTATTCTGGTTGTAATCTATACATGCATACATATTGTAATAACAATTTTTTATTTTCATTTTTATTGTACATTTTAATTTATAATAATAATAATAATAATAATAATATATTATAATAATTTATATATTTATACATATTATAAAAAGAATACGAGATAATTTAACTGTTAAATTATTTTTTAATTTTTAAATTTTAAAAAATATGAGATGTGAAGTGTTTTTTTTCTTTACAATCTATAGTATATATCTCCTTTTGATTTCACATATTTTAGACATTTATGTTATTTTATTATATTTTTTCCACCCTCTTAAGAGTAAAATAATAGAAAAAATATGTATAAAAAAGTAATTATCTACGTTAATAATAATAACTACCCTCTATTTTGTAATCACCTTTGATCTTCAATTTTTTTTAAAATTATTTTACTTTATTTTAGTTATATATTATATCTCTCACTTATACATTTTATAACTTTTATTATTTTTGTTTTTCGATTTTTACTTATTATTTCTAAACAACTTATTATTTCTAAACAACATACAAAAGCATGAAGTGTTTAAACTTTACTAGTCTATACTAATATATAAAGGGTATATCACTTTTAATAAACATATTTGATTTCTACATTTGGTATATTATTATGTCCTTCTATTATTAAAAAAAATAAAAGATTAATAATTTTTTAGGAACTACTATTCTCTTTTAATAACGGTCTACTCTACTATTTTTATTACTTAATTATCTTTATTATTTAATCTTAATTTTTATTTAATTTTTTATTTTTAAGTAATATATAGTGGCACAAATTAAGTGTTTCGACTTCATTACTTATTATAAAGGGGATACATGTTGTAGTAATTACCTTTTGGGTTTCCATTTTTGTTGGACACTTTTATCCTAAATAAGTAAATAAATAACCTATCGGTTGTGACACCTTCTACCCTGCATACATGTATAATGTATATTTAAAAAAATAGTGAATATAAAAATAAAACTTAATCCATGCATAATTAACCAAATATAAAATTCAACATAAGGCAAAGAGAATTGCATAACAATCCCTCAAAACAAAACCACAAAGTTAGGGAAATTTAAATCTAAACATGATACCTATTACAATCATAATGTAAAAATTAATCATAATCTAAGTTTTGATATCACATATCATATCAGAGCATTCTCAACACAAGGTCTAAGCCTCGTCATTAACATCATTAATATCCTAATAAACATTACTTGCAACAACATACATAATACAAGACATAGAAATAAAGGAAGTGAGAAACTTCTCATTTTAGCTCATAGCATGAGATAAAAGCCACACGCATAACATAACATTTATAAAATGAGCACTTTACAAATAGACACACACTCAATATTATCACAATGCAATTAATTTGTACACTACAAGAAATTTTGAAATTATAGACGATCAAAACCCGTGAGTAATCCAAAAAAATCCATTGGTAACACTTTATGTCCGACAGATTAT